GTTAAAACTTAAAAAAGCCAGGTTATGTTAAATAAGTGACCTTTTGTACACATTTAACATGATGAAAATGAATGATAATGTAAAACAAACACATTAAAATGAAGTTGAAAAGATGTTTGCAGATCGGTATTTGAGTCTCATAGAACAAACCCAAAATCAAATCTTTAGTCCTTTAGAAGTAAATCCAACTCGAGACTTCATAATCAAACTGGAAGTCAAGGTGCAAGTCTGCCAGCTGCCTGAGTTTTCATCATTAAAATGACACGGAACATTTTCCTTTTAAAGCTGTTTATGGCGGATTTGTTTCTTTTACAAAGCTGAGACCAAGTCCTCACAGTGAAGAGGCCTAATGATTCAAAATTTAAGCTGGGGGGAATTATTTTTTTATGGCTCAGTGAATTTTGAAGGTCATGTTTGACTTGAATGTTTGCTTTCAAGTCTAAAGTCAAGTCAAATTTGCAGGGAGTCAAGTCAAGTCTCAACTCTTCATTTTTGTGACATACATTCATCTACATTACATGCTGTGCTATGCAATAGATCTTTGTCATCCTGAAAATCACTCTTTAAATAAAATGTAATATTATTAGTAGTATTATTATTAATCAGAAACTGAGGTTGGCCAATTCAGCCTGCATCAAAATTCTGACAATGTCAGAATTTTAGGAGCAAAGTCTCACAATGCGACTGCTGTTATGATCCACATCTACAAACTAAGCTAACCACTAAACTAACCCCCCTCTATCATTAGAGCCTCAATTTCAGCCCTGTCTCCCAGAAATCACAATTGTATATTACTAAATAACTTTTCCAATGAGTTTGTGCTGGCAAATGTTATTTCCTTGAGTGCTACATGTTCAGGAGCCACCGGGTGGTTGGAAAAGATAGAGAGCGTAGAAAGTTCAAGATATGACAATTATATTTTGGCAGTAAATAAATGAAATGCATTATCAGTGAACATTTCTGTCACATGCCAAATACGTAAATAAACAACATTTCCTCAGTATGTGAGTAAACTAATTTATAAGTAAACTTTATTTATATTGTAGCTTTTAAGAGCAGAGATGTCACAAATGCAATAAGGCAACCAACATACATACAGACAGACAAAAAACACCATAAAACAGAAACAAATAGAAGCATTAGACAAACGTAAGTCCAAACAAGGTGCCCATAGTGCCAACATATCTTTAGTCCAAAGGAAGAGAGTTCCACAGCTTCCTTTAGCTTTAAGCCTAGATCAAGGAATCTGAATCTGATCGAGGAATCTGCAAGGCTCTATGTGTCATCGCAAGACACTGGAATTCTGAATCTGATGGGGAGCCAGTGAAGAGAAATCATGATCGGTGTCACATGAGATGTATGGTAATACAAACGAACTCAAGCATTATGTTTAGCGTATTTTCTGTTGAAAATCAGAACACTGTTAAAAAAAATACAGCATGCAATGACACAGAACACCTTGGTTGACTTGACACTGCATACAACAGATTTGAAAAAGCATTCCAATGCTTGCTTTTCATTTGCTGCATTTTCAAAACAAATGTGTGGCCCTAGTTGCTGATGAGTCTCTGCTTGTAAACTTTTTCTATTTAAATGTGCAACAATTCATCAGGTATTCATCACACAATGAAATTGATCATCATACAGTCTGACACAGATAGCCAAGCCAATATTTTTTTTTTTTAGATAAAGTAGTAAAAAAGTCCCCATATCACCTGGACAGTCTCTCTGCAGGACTGATGTAATGATGTATGATCTTCTTCTTTTTTTTCATTTTTTACTGGTGCCTTTGAGCAAGGCCTCTGACATTTGAACAAAAGTGCCTCTCTGTTCAAAAACACCAAAGTCAGCAAATCATAACTGAATGTTTCTCTCACTGTTAAGAAATCTAAGAGATTTCTTTAGAGGGGAGGCAGCACAAGTCTGTCCGGGAGGTAGAAAAGCTGCTGCAGCATTTTGGGCTAATGCCTCCGAGTTATTGGCAGTGAGTGGAAAAGTTCAGCTTTAGATCAGAATCAAGCATCAACACAAGCTGCCAACAGTAAGAAGAGTTCAAAAGGGAAGACTCCCTGATAACATTACAGAAAGAAGCGTTAAGAATATTTCTGTTTATGATGGACTTTTCTTGCCTTCTAGAAATGTTAATACTGCTTTTACCATCTGGTGGGGGTACTGTTTACAGTTTACTCAAGTACTGCATCAAGAACACTTTTGAGGTACTTTATACTTTATACCTCTATATTGCATCTAGATATTGTACTTTTCACTCCACATTTGTTATAAAAAATAAAGCCAGTAATTTCCAAACATTTTGGCTTGTGACCTCTCACAAAAAAGCTGTGTCTAGTTGGGTCCCTTGTCACATTTCAGACAGCTTTTATTTTCCAACCATTTCTAAACTTATAAACACGAGTTGTTCTGACTTTATGACAAAATGACGAGTTCACTCAACTCATTCAATTTCATTCAAATTTCCTAAAGAAACATGACCAGCTTATTTGCCGACTTCCCAGCATGCACGGTTGTTTCTTTTTTATAATAATGAAAACAACAAGAACCATGATGAAGTTTCGAGTTCAGTTCCAACCCCCATATACTTTTAATTTACCACAGACACTGGAGACAGCCTTACATGTGCTCTTTGAACTAATTCTGCTATAAAGTGGATCCAACAGCAGACACAGCTGCTGTAAGAGGAAAGAGGAAAGCAAATCTGACTGTAATATTTGTCAGCATGATTCAACAATTGTTGATCCAACTTAATATCTTAAGTTAACTTATTTTCTTATGTTCAATAAACATACATGTTTAAGTTGAACTAGTTTAAAACAAGAGACATTTTCCCTCTAAACTAAATAAATTAAAAAAAATTTTTCCAATATTTCACAACAAAGCATAGAGAAAAAATAATGACTACAGATTTGTGTAGAAGAACTTTGATTTTTCCTCTTTACTATCATTTTTACTACCCAATTAATCATCTCACAACCCCAAATGAATTCCAGTTTGCAGGTTGGAGGTGTTTTAATAACACATGCCCTGTTCATGTGAAGTTACAAATATTTATAAATGTCATTAATATACAGACAGTGTCGGCCTGAACCAGTTGCCTTGCTTGTTAAGTCAACATTCAATGGAGACATTTTCAATAATGTATTCCCCCCCAAATTTTACAGATCTCTCTGCTACTCAGACTGGAGGTAACCCTATATTATTAATATTTAAATGCCCACTGGACCTTTCTTAAATCTGATGTCATGCCATTTCTACCTTTAGATAGAGCTCAGACATGGGAAAGACAGAGACAGAGAGTAAAAAGTAGATGATTTGCAGTCAGTAATGAGGCAGACTATAGTTCATATTATTGCAAATTGCTATGCCCCTCTAACCTGATTTTACATGCAGCTCTCGCCCTCTGGAGCTTTTCAGTCAGCTGAGAGAGGAACTCTGCTGTGCTCACAAATGGTGCATGTGAAATGTGTTCAGTTGTTGGAATATTTTAAGACTGACAGTCAGATACATCAAAAAATGTAGCTGAAGAGAGAACTGTACAACAGTAAAAAGCATCTATTATGAAATGAAAGAAACTTCTGTATGATAAAAACTGAAATTTCTCACATAAGTGAAAGTAATCGTATTATTAGTATATAACTGTATGATTCAATAGAGATTCATGTATATTTTTTAGTGTATATGTATTGCTTTAGTATTACCAGTATTAGTATTTGGTACTCTTTCACTTTTCCTTATCAGTTTCGGTTGAGGAAATTGGGTGCCTCTCCTTGTTCTCCTGTCCCACCATGTGTTCAGATGAGGAAGGGTAGCATCATAATAATTTTTGCTCGTGGCATTACTGTCAGTATTAACATGCACCAGAGCAGTTTCCAACAAATGGGTCTGGACTTCATCAACATTAATAAAGAAAAAAGAAAATAGCTCAGTTGCACAAATTTTTTTTTTTATGACTTGTATCAGGCTAATTTTTTTTTACAAGTGAAATATTGAATACTTTTCAATCTTCAGGCCTTCAGGAATCTGAGAAATAAAAATCGTTCTTTGGTTGAACAGCAATACACTAATTAGTTTATTTAGCTTAAGAAGTAGGAGGGTTTTCTCAACCCATAAAGGAAAAAGTGGAGCTATTTATTTTTTACTATACTGTTGGCTAGTTTGTGAACCTACCCCAAATCATCATCCCTGCTCTGTCGCAGTGTGCAGGTCCTACTGGACTCTAAATGGACTAAAATTTCAGAAGATAGTGAGAAGTGCTGTCATAATTCCCCATAGCCCAAACTAACACCTTCACAGTGCTTGTTTTGTCCAACCAACAGTCTAAACGTCAAACGTATTAAGAATGAACTAAAATAATAAAAAATCAAAGCAGCAAATCTTCACACTTGTGAAGCCGGAAGCACTAAATGTTTTTGCATGAAAAATGAACAAATAATATATCAAAATAGATGCCAAATTGTTTTCTTTTGCCTAATCGATTAATTGACTGATAGTTTCAGCTGTAGGCCTACTTGTATAAACTGCTAAAGTTCTTTGTATGTTTTGTTTGTACACATCTTATTTTGTAAAGTTGTCAGACAAGTGTAGTGAAGTGAAAAGAACAACATTTCCCTCTGAGTTGTAGTGGAGTAGCCTAGTAGCATGAAAAGAAAAGACTCAAGTAAAGTACCTCAAATTTATAGGCTTACTTGTGTACAGGAGTAAATTTAGGCTCCTTAGATACATTCCACCACTGTCTATCCATAGAGTGGACTAGACTGTAGACTAGAGGAACTGTACTTAGCTGAGGGGTGGGGTAGGGTTAAAATAAAGTTGCCACATATTTATTAGTAATGCTGAGCCTCCTGTCCTGGGATGAGATTGGGGTGGGGGCTCCTCCTCCTCCTCCTCCTCCTCCTCCATGTGTTCAGGCTTGGAGAAAGGGCAAAGTGACGTCACGCAGGGCTGGTCCTGCCGTTTATTAACCAGGGGAGCCAAGTGCCAGGTTGCAAGAGCTTCACACTGCAGCTCTGTCCGGCCGGCGACAGAGGGGATGTCCTACTAACTCCACCAAAACTTTCTAGAAACTCAGTGAACAGAAAAAAACACTGACTGACAAAAGTGTCGCAACTTGCCTCATTCCTGTTTGATTGAAACTTTAACAACTTTCTGTGTGTTTTTGTTGTCTTTTATTAACTAAAACAGAGGCACAGTCTGCGCATCCACTTTGATAACTGCTGTGTGAGCCGGGTCACGCTTGCGTAGAGCGATTTCCCCCCTCCCTTTATTTTATTTTTTATTTTTTGACGTTGGGATAAAGGTTTTCTTTATCATTTTAAGACTCGTGATGGCTGTCCTATCACTAGCGTTTCTGCTTGTAGGATTTGTATTGACTTCAGCTGACAAGGTAAGTGTCTGCAACGCTCAGTTTACTCTCAAAGTGTTGTCCGCAAAATTGCCTCTCAAACTGAACACCCTTAATATTAAATAAATCCAGCTTTAATGCGGAAAAAGGTGGGCCGACGCAGCAGCAGGTTTTAAGTGCCTCAAAACTTTCACTTCTGGCTCTGTCAATGCGCACACTGCTTCCTCTGTGAAATACATGTTGACACTGCACACGCATGAGTTTAGCCTGTTACATAAGACATGTAAAATAGAGGCATTTTTGTTAAATCTTTACAAGCAGCTCAGCCTACAGTAAACTGCTGCGGCGCGGTTGCGTTGCTGCTGCTGGACATCTTAGACTCTCACATTATGATTTCCTTCTGGCTTGTACCGCATTTAACGAGCTTTTTTGTTTCCCTCCTACAGGCTGGTGAAGTAGATAGAGAGGGTAAGTCCTATTTATTCATTTGTGTTCTCTTGTTAATGATTAGATGCAAGTAGCAGAGATTTTCCTCCAGACACTGATACAAACTCAGAACAACTTTGGTACACTGAGATCAAAGTGGGAGGGGAGTTTGTGTGTGTGTGAGGAGCTCTGTAATACACCCCCCTCCTGTACCCTCCCCTACCAGCCCTCTACACACACAAAGTCCTCCAACACACACACTCACACACTTATATTACATGAGCGAACTGCTTCAAGGGCTTTGTTATACAGGAAAGAAAATTCCACTTCTAAATCCTGCACATCTGTTATCCATTCTGAGGTTAAGAAACAAGTGAGCTGCAACTGTGTCCACGTAGGATCCTTTTACACTCGTCGTTATCTTCTGCACACCTCAAGGCCTCTCACACAGCAAGATGACAGCTGCCAGCTGGACCTTGGTGGGCGTTTGTGGTTGCTCCCTCGCCTGTAGTTTGGCACCTCTGGCACTTCTTGGGTCATTATCGTCCTTGTAAAGCAGTTATTTCACCCATTAAGTGTGGTTTCCCTTAAATTTTCACCTCTGACTTTTCTTCTTCCAAAAGTCAAAGTCAGCGTGCCTCATTCTAGAACCACATGTACGCTCATATTTTGTTTCTCAGTGATTCATGAGAACTTCAAAAAGGTTCTCATATATAGTTCATGAATATAGGCCTGTTTTAGGAGTCACAGCTAGGCTGCCGTTCTTCAAACTTATCTGAATGAGTTTATGATAAAGATTTTAACATTTATTGACATATTTATAGAACATACATATATGGTTAAGCAGCTGTTGTGCATGTTGCTGTCTGTTGCACCATCGGCTAATGAATAATAATCTCTCTATCTCTGTGACTGTCATGTCACCTTGCTCGCCTTCCATTTAAGTCATGGAGCGCTTTGCTTTAGAAAGACATGTTTTTTTTAGCAACTTCATGTCAAACAACTCACTTTTTTTTTCAGTCACAGTACTGAGATCGTGTCTCCTAATACAACTACTGACACTGCTAAATTTTCATCCGCTGATTTTCAACAGCAGATCTTGAGACTCCACCTTCCCACAAATGGAAGGAAACATGCAGGCTTATATAGAAATTTTAGGGGCGTTGACTATGCTAATGATCACGAACCTCCTCATGAGAATTTGGTGAATCTGACTTGGAACATTTGTATGAGCAAACCTCACAGAAAATAGTAAGAGAGGTTTGAGAAAAGTATATTAAAATGTTCTTGCATAAGGCCAGTTGAGTGCAAAGCAAAGCAAAACCCTTTTAATAAAAAACATTTTATCATATTTTTCTCTGTAGCCTTAACACAATGTACTTGAAACAACCTGTCGCCTGTGGAATTGGTGTCAGACAATCCAGCAATCATGCCTATTTTATGCAGCGATTTGCAAGGTGTGTGGAGGTGTGAAAGTAGGAAGATTAGAGACTAGATTTCTCCTCTTACCTAAGCAAAGCGCCTTCATTCATCCCAGTGGTCAGCTGGTTGCTGGCTAAAGTCTTTGTGGTTTGTTCAAGTTCACAAGCTTTCAAGTTGAGGTGATGCATCACTCAGTCATAGTCAGCGCTAGTTCATTGAGGGCAGTTTGGTGTGTCAGGGCTCTAAAAGCGGCAGTATGCGTCATGATCGAATAACATAATATCCAGCTCACCCTACACCTCTCTGACCACAGAATGAAGAGGCTGCGTCCCACAATTTTTTGCAACTTCCTGAAATCAGCAATCTGAAAATCACAGCCAGTTTGCATAAGCTAGCCAGGTGTGCAGAGCAGAGGTGTGAAAGTATGCGGGATTTAAACATACATTTCAAGCTGTCCTGCTTCACAAAACTACTTCCATCACTTTTGGTGCTTATAGTCAAGTGCAACACCATGAATGCCTGAGAAGAGACTGTCTGAAGGCGTGCGCAGTTATCCCCATTTGTACAATTAATCTCTGTGACGGCAGGCTTTTTGCGGCCCTCAAGTGTGGCCATTCCGCACGTCTATAAACAATTTCGCCTTTAGACGTGGTCAGGAAACACATCGTTTGAAGCATAGCACTGACACCTTAAGCTTATGATGAGCCTGTGCAATCAAATTCATGTTGCCTCGAAAATGGTTGGCTTGTTGGTTTTGTCTTCCCCTGTTGACTGAAGTCTCTGTGGTTAGTTTGAGTTCACACATTTTTTAATTTAGGCGATGCATCAGCCATTCCTTGTCGCCGCAAGATTAGCTTGATGTTTCAGGTCTCCAAAATGTACAGGTGCATACAGGTTGGTGAATTAAAGAAAAAACCAACAAGTGTCCTAGTAAGGTTTTGGGAAACCATAAGACTCCGGAACAGTTTAAATGCTCCTTTGCATATATTTTCCTTTTGGAGGGATGGAAACCATTCCACAAGATATTCCATCATTTGGGGAGTTACATGTTGCTCCAAATATCCCAAAATATTCCAGTGAGTTGAGATCTGGTGACTGTAAAGGCCATAGCATATGATTCACATACTTTTTGTACTCAAATCATTCTGGTACTCCTAATTATGGAAGCATGTGCATATGTGAGTTTCATATTATCATATTATGCAGGTTCATCCTTTTTATTTGTCACTAGTAAATATCTTGTAGCACCAGGTTGTGATCATTCATGTGGAGGGGGAAACCCAATGTTTTTCTTGCCCTCTTTTCTGATGGGGCCCACTAAGTGCCTTCTTTAGTCATTTAATTCTTCCAATTAAATGTAATCCAGTCCATGAATATTAAACCTGAATTACGATTAGGGATTTATTGTGCCAAATTTGAAGTTAGTAACACTAAGAACCACTTCCAGGATTGCTTTGACTAGATGTGCACCTGTGTCATCAACATTTGGTTGCAATTGCAGTGTATTCATGAATTATTGCTTATATTGCTTACATATTATTATTATATTATATGTCAAATAGGCAAATTCTACAATAATTTGGTGATCTATACTGGGAAATTATATGGTTTATCTAATTTGTGCTTGCTGAAAGTAGATTGTATGAAATTTGTAGGACTGTTTTGCAAAAAAAGTCAAAATGACAGAAGAATCTGTTTAGGCCATAATTGGCAGTGCTTTTACTTTAAGAATTGTCTTGTACCAAAAAAAACAGCAACACCTCATAGTTCAGGAGTCATGAGCTAATATGCTTTATAAATGACCACATGGTGGCGCCGTCTGTACCACAAACTACTTACTTGGCTTATGGCTTTCCACCAAATTTTACAGAAATCTCTCCAGCAAACAACTAACATACATAACTGACAGATATGATTGCTTCACTCCTGTCATCTGAATCTGATGCTAATGTCACTTCTGAGTGTGTGCTGTGTGAACTGGCTACCTAATGAAAGTAGAGATGTGTGGCTCCCAAGCATCTGAAAAACCAGATACCATTTTAGCCACTTTATTTGAAATGGCAAATGTGTTCTTTTCAGTGTGGACATGCAGTGTTATTTGGAACATTTTCACAACGATTTGATCCTCAGTTCAATATTTGCAGCAGTTCAGTAGATCTTATTCCCTCAAGAACAAGTCTCCCAGACGGTGCAGTAAAGCCAAGCCTTTATGGTACATTCAAACTTAATGTTCCTTTTAATGTCAGGCTCTAAGAAGAATACTGTCAGAACTTAACAGCACTGTAAATGAATTTGTGGCAGAACGTGTTCTCTCAATTTGCTCTAATCCAGTTTCATTTGCTAGGGTTGGCCTCAGCTTTTATGGATTAGAAGGTAGTAAATTAGTAGATTAGATGGTTGTCCTTCTTGTTCCATTACTCCCTTACAAAATTTACCAAAATGACTTTTGCAATGTTTTGTAGATGCATTTTCTGAAGAATGATAGTGGTCTGCGCTAACCACAGTGGCAAACACATTGCTTTTCCTGTGGCTGCTTCATAATAAAAGCCATCCCGTGTTATGCCAGTTGAATGATTTTAATGTGAAGCAGTAGCTGTAGGAAGTAACGTAAAAGTCTAAACAGTAAAATGTTAAGATTGCATCGCTTTTAGGCAGTCTGAATCAGCGTGGGAATGGCAGACTCCACCACTAGCGATAAAAACTACTAAACAGAGAGATTATTAGTAAATGTGTATGCATTCAGTGGCAATTGCAGAAAAACTGCCAACCATAAATAGTATCAAAATGTGATTTGATTTAAAAATCTGTAAAAAAGGATTATAATTTAAGTATAATGATAAATAAAGACTTTTTATTTTTTGCATGTTTTGTCACACAAATGTTTAATGTTGTGGAGACACAAGATTTAAGTTTTAATTAATCCATAAGGAACTGTGTTGCAGGTCTGAACAAAGTAGTAGAGCATAATCTGCTCTTTTCCTTCTAAATAGGAGAAGTGGCTCTTGCGATTATACACAGGCCTCCTGAGGATTAAGTAGTGAACCTCCGCTCTACAAATACTCACTAATGAACAGAGCTAATTCTTGGCTCCTCTTTGACCTGTGGCTCTTTAACTTTTTCATCCCTAAAAGATTTGTCACACCAGCTTAACTGCAGAAAGCAAACTGTAGGGAAATATGTAATACTCCATCTAAACTTACATCAGTCCTATGCTGCACAACCATTTCACGTATCAGTATCAAACAACAAACTCTGTGTCATACATGTTTGCAGAAAGAGTAAAGTTAACAAGATGTAACTGTGAGGTATTTGCCTTTGATGTTTTTGCATGTTCAGAACCAGACATGTGCCTGGTTTTGGAGTTTTGACAAATATGCTCAATGTATCCTTATCTATGTAAACTTTACAAAGCCTTCCATCCCTCACAGTATGTTTTTTCTCAAAAAGCACATTTGTCATACTGACTGTACACACTACAGTATGATTGTCATTTACTCAGACATGTAATTTGAGTTTCAACACTGACACCTGTTTGAATGTCTTCTAGTCAAAACTTACAAGATAATAACAGCTTGGATATCCATGTTACCTTTTTTCCAACCAAATATTTTTGAATGCGTCTGCTATTGCACACATTTGGAAAAGCAAACCAAGCCTGGGTGGAAATTTCCTTTAAACTGAGCGTGTTTCAAGGCCCACGCATTTCCTTGAACAACTTAGTTGACCACAAATTAGTCATGAACAAGGGCTCGAGGGTAAAGGATGTACTATGCCAAAATGACACTGATTACCATCCAGTGTAGGATGCATATTTTTGTGGTTTAGGTTTATTTTAGACATGTTAACGGCAGCAACAGCTTCTCAAGAACTTATGGAAGGAAGGTTTTATCTTCTTTGACATGCTTCAGCCTGTAGTTTTAAAAGTATCATGGCTTAAAAGAGGCATTGGCATCAGACTTTTTCTGGCTGTAATGTAAAGAACAAGGCCAGGTATAGAATGATGAAAAACAATGTAGAAACCAATGGATTGGCACAACATAGGTACCATTGCAAAGAAACACAGGTACATCAGGCAAAACATGCAGTCTTGGTGCTGTCCTATGTCTGCTGTACTGGCCAATCAAATGTATGCAAGCTCAAATTCCAGATAGCATACCATGTAGTGTGTACATGTGTGTATCATTATCCTAACTCCAAGGTTTACCTTTAAAGTACCTTTAAATATAGAGCAGCAAACTAATCATGTCGTGATAGCTGCAGCGATGTTTAATCCAAATTCTGCCTCAAATATAATTAACTCTTGTGTAGTGTCTTGGTATCTTTAAGTCTTCAAATTGGACATCCTGGTTTGTTTTTCATCTTTACACCTGTACCTGCCTCTCAGCTACCTTTTTACTGTTCTTTTATGATAAGGATGAGAGTAATATTGATAATAGTAATAACATGGCCGGGCAGCATAGTTTGCATGTTCTCTGGTTTCCCCCACCATTAAAAACATGTTAGGCAGGTTTCACCAGTCACTGCTGTTTGACCAGACACTGCATTTAAGCTGGAGTTGGTCCCCGGGCGCTGTACAGTGGCTGCCCACTGCTCCCTTGAGGGACGGGTTAAATGCAGACAATGAATATTGCTATGTGTATGTGACAAATAAAGTACCCTTTACCTTTTTTTGACCTGATGTTAGCGTTGTGCTGAAATGATTTGTTGAATAATGATAATAAACCAGTTCATAGAAACTTCATCATTAGTAATTTATTATGCAAAAATATCAAAGGTTCCATAGGTCCATCTACTCAAATGTGAGGATTTGCTGCTTTTCTCTGTTTCATATAATTTTATGTTTAATATCATTGAGTTGTGGAAAGTCAGTCATGCATAAAAAGAAATTTAAATTGGTCACCTCTGACTTGGAAACCTGAAATGGATTTTTTTTTACATTTTCTTAAAACAAAATGTTTAATAAAAAAACAATAGCACAACCCTAGAGGACTCTGCTGCATCTAACCACAGTTTGCTGATGAACAGAAAGTGTTACTTGTTGCTAAAGTAACCGCTAACTATCCACTGTTATCTAATTAGCTCAGTTAGCCTAGTGGTTATAGCTGTCTCAACCCGGACTGGGAGCTCAGAGCACCTGGGGCGTGTATTGTGTTTAACGCATAGAGTACTGGAGGTTTTTAGGCCAGGATAATGTCAGTGAGCGGCGTTGGATTGGGCAGCAGCCTTCCAGTGATCCGCGGCATGAACAGGACCAAACACAGAGACCAACAAAGGATACAGTACCGAGGTGATGTACAGAGTTTCTTAAAGAACAGATACATTTACTTTTTGCTAAACCGCAAACAGCTAATGTTACTAACTGTATCTGTCCTAGCTGAGTTAGCCTTTGGGTGCCAAGAGCAAAACCCGGCAAGAAAACCACCTCGGTCCTGTATTCCCTGTCGTTAAACTGGCCTCTGCCGGTCTCAGAGGCTGTGTTGGGTCCCGGTCCGGCCGTAGTGTTCACACAGTGAGAGCTGAACCAGTCTGCACAGAGCATAGACTGTATATATATAAGAAGTCGACGTAGTCATCGTAACATCACTGCCTTGATGAGTTTGTGCAACCAGTGGCACCGGACATGACCATATTTGGATGAGACGGTTGAGCTAACAGCCGTGTGCGGAGCAAGCTAGCTTGCTTAGCTAGGTGCATCTGTAATTCACCTTAACTGTCATTTTAGCAGGGCAACTTTGTCTGGCGAACACCAGTCTTAAAACTAAATGTACTCACCAAAGAAAGTGAATAGCCAAATCCTAATAAGCTTTTTCAACAGCCCTGGTTAAATTTACACAGTGCCGTGGGTACACTCTAGCCTGATTGACAGTTCGCCATGGTAACAACTTGTCAATCATAGATAATCCCACCCTGAAGCATACTCTGCTTTATGATCTATTTTAAAATAAATGGGACCATAATTTACTAAATGAACATCATATTGTATTGAAGAAAACTTGAAACTAGCGATTGAGACCATAAACTCGTTAGGAAAGTGTTTACTGGGGTAATTATTCAGTCATTTTACCATTATTTCTAATGGAGCCGGAAGAGTCACCCCCTGCTGGCCGTTCAATAGAATGCAGGTTTAAGGGACTTACGCGTTGGCTTCGCGTCTCAGATTGGAAGCTTCCCGCTTGGCACAGATTGTGCATGACGGGGTGGGGGGGTGTAACGCACATTCAGCACTATTGGCTACTGTAAACGCCAATAAATATCTGCAAGTCCCTCCCTGTCTTTATGTTTTTAAACATGTAGAAGCAAACAGCACATTCATTTGTGAGAAAATCAAATAAAAAAATTTATATTAAAATCTTATATAATGTTATAAGAACAAAATGAATCAGTTCTTTGTTGTTTGAATGAATCATTAGGCTGCATTGCACACGATTTAATAAAATTGTGTTATTTTTCTCTTACCAGTCTTATATAAGCATGAAAATGAATCGTGATAATCTCGTGAATCGTGATTTTTGCCATATCACCCACCCCTACTTGGAATGCTGTCCTAAAAAAAAGGTCTCATTGTCATTGTGTTTTACAGACCAGTTGAGGAGCCGGCTGAAGGAATACGGCCTTGTCACTCCCTTCAGCACTGACTCTCATGGACACTACCTGTCACACCTGCTCTCTGCCACTCACAAGCAACGCGTCAAGAGAGAGGTGTTTTCTTCTGGTGAATCTGAACAGAAACTTTTCTTCAACATCTCCGCCTTCGGAAAGGAGTTCCACCTCCGTCTCCGCCCAAACAACAGGCTGGTGGCTCCAGGTGCGATGGTGGAGTGGCACGATGAGGTCCAAGGCTTTGGGAACGTCAGCGACAACGCTGGTGACGATGCCAGTACAGGTGGCAACCAGACTGAGGCCACTAGCGGGACGGAGAGGATACTGCATCGTGAGCTGCTAAAGACCGACTGCACCTTTATCGGAGACATCACAGACGTCCCCGGGGCAGCGGTTGCCATTAACAACTGTGACGGACTGGTAAGTCCTCTTCATCCATAAAGCGCCTTACTCCCCACCCCCTCAAACTCTGTCTTCTCATTACAATAGTGCCATGACCTTATCTACTGACACTAATGGATTTAAGATGTTCGTAACTGCTGAGTTTAGCCTTTCTTTACGTCAGCACCCAGCATTTTTACAGCACATTGTTCTCTAAGATATTCTTCAGGCTGGTAGACGGAATAGCTTTTTGTACAGAAGTTTGTCACGGGTGAGTGGCCATCCATTGCACCCACAAACCCAACGGATTTTCCCCCCAACCTCTTTCCAACATAAAACACAAATTACCATTATGCTGCACAAAAGGTGCAGTCCTATCCTTCCCATCACCCCTCATAAAACACTTGGGCAAAAAAGTAGGCCAATGAAGCATCTCTGGATTTAAGAAAAAGACTCAGCTAGCCAAACCCAAAGACCTTCAAATGAAGTGCTGTGCTGAAATGCTGCAGACTTTAAAGGCAACACAAAGGATGAACTATAACTCATGACTCCTGATAGGCAATAAAGATGGTGTTGTTTTAATCTTTTATTATGAAAAGCAATTCTGCTGATGAAACTTTCCTACAAGTACTGTCTGTAGGCAAATATTGCTCAAGTGTAAGAGGAAACAGGCGTACTTCTCCTGCGCTGCAATATGTTTTTGTTAAAACAGAAAAAGAACCAAAAAGTTTAGAATTGTAACCTCATGTCTTGATAATTTTTGTGAATATAATTTACAACTAACGGAGTGACAAATCTGATGGCATGTATCGTCGTGAAGCCTTCATCAGAGCACTGAACACTGTAGTTGAAGAACTTAGATGGTGAACATGGTTAGAATAATACCTGCCAAACATCAGCATGTTAGCATTTAGATTAAACTCACCACTGTGAATACAGCCTCACAGAGCTGTTACCATGGATGTAAAATCTTTGCCCTTAATTTCTTCAGGGGAATTTTGAATCATAATAAACAAAGGAAGTAACACCAGTGTTATTCCTTTAATGACATGTGTTCACTGGTATTTATCTGAATTTACTGTACTGTACACAGATTACACAAAACAGTCCCTTCACTTAAAAGAGTGACATATGAATATGGTGAGAGCCTCAGGGACTTGTTAACTTAAGTCATTGTGAAACATGAATGCAAAGCCTTGCTGTCTACATTTTCTATACAATGTGTGTGTGCACGCGCGTGTGTCCTCAGGATTTGATTTTCAGAGGATGGCCAAAGGTACCCTGCAGGGGTTCACTTTTTTCTTTCTACATTACAACATTTGTTACAAGGCAGCAGATTTGGAAAGACATTATCACAGGCAGGCGTGGGAGTGTGGTTTTGACAAGGTTGCTGGCCAGCAAAAACTGATTGTGTCATTTTCATAAGGTGGTAGAAGGAGATTCTTATGAAAAATGGGCTGACTTTCTTGGAAAATTAAAACATGTTGATTCACAAGAAGAAAGCTGACAGGCATTGTTTTGGTGTATTGATAGCCTTTTGCGAAACTGAGGGTGAAAACAGTTTTGTAGTGAGACAGGAATAAAGACAAAAATGGTAAATGTGTTTCTTTCTGTCCTTTTAAAGATCTCATTAAACAGGCTCTCAAACTAAACTCATACTGCACAAGAAGGCATAATGAAAAAGACATCTGACAGGCAGATCTGTAGAGAATCAATTAAAGGACATTTTATATTACCTAGGGGGATTATATATACAGGAGAGACAAAAGACAATAGAGACAACAAGAAGTTTAACCTTGCTGCTGTGCTGTAATTTGTTCAGTAACTAATTTAAAGTGAGATCATCAATTTAATACAATATTGAATAGCCTATCTTATCAGTGTATTGATTTTTCTTTGGATACCAAACCTGAAGTGAGTTCATTTTTCTGTCGTTGTACCATCAGGCACAGTATAATAAAGTACCAAGCTCACACTGTATCGCACTGAACCAAATGTAGCAGCAGGAAAAAGAGATTTACTTAAATAAATTGTATTGTACAGTCGAAATTAAATTTGAATTATCTTTTTGTGAAGAAATAGAAAATACAATGACACTCTAGCTGTCTAGGAGTAAGCTTGCTTGCTATATTTTAGTCTTTTTCGCTAGCCAAAATTAGCATCCCGGTTAAAATCACAGTTAATGGGAATTACAGATGCATCTTGCTAATCAAACTAACTAGCGCCACCCTATCGTTCAAATGTCGTCACGTCTGGTGCCTGGTTGCCAAAAATTGGCGACGGCCAAAATGCCAAAATCGAGGCTTCAAAATGATGTCCACAAACCAATGGCTGACATCATGGTGATGTGTTTTTTTTCTCACTATGTACCACTATACTGTTGTCAGATAGAAGCCATCAGTATGTTTATTGGGTTAAATTTGGAGGCGTTTGTATTGCACTCAGAAAATGGAAGCTAGTTAGCCTAGCTTGCTAATGTTTGCACTGATTCCTAAGCTTCCTGCCCTTAGGTCGCATTCTGCTGTTAAGTTTGGAATCTGTTCAGAAAGAGGAAGCAAGTTAGCACTGCTTTCCATGAGATGTTACCTTTCATGTGTTATTTCAACTCCCACAATCCTAAAGTTATGTTAGTCTCACATTATAGAAAGAAGGAAATCAGGGGAGCGTTCGCCCATTTGAGACTTTAGAACTCAGTATGTTGCTCTGTGATTCGGTCACACAGCTTCCCTTATGCAAAAATTAGGAAACAAATCACAGTAATTTTTTTTTACCTGTTATAAAGCTGAAGCTGGCATTTTCAAAGGTATTTTTGTGATCCCAGAGACCTCTACAGTATGCCTAGGACAGAGCTATTTTTGAGTCCAAGACAAGTCTCAAGCCTTCACTGTAGAGGGGTGCAGGAAGGAAAATAGGCGATATGCTTGAGAGGAGGAGAAACTATTGAGCTACTTGTGTATTGGATAATACATTTTATAATGAAAAGGCAGTCTTCCCATCTGAATTTAGAGTTTTCTCCATTTTATTCTGGTGCCAGCAGCTGCAACTGAAATTAAGAATTAGGTTATGACTTTGCGGACATCCTGATTATGTTATTAATTATTCATAACAGTTGTCCTGAGCTCTAAAAGGCGAAACTACGTACAGTATTGCATTTTTAAATATTTATGGTTCACCAAGTCAGGTTTTCTCAGTGTTTTTCCATCAAGTCGCATTTGAGTTGAGTCCAAGTCGAGTTGCAAGTCTACAGCTCTGGACTGTAAAATTTTGTTTTTTGCCCAGGGTTAACTAACAATTAAATACAATATTTCCACAAACTGATCCAGCCACTCTCTGGCAGAAGTGCTTTAAGGCTGGGTCACACCATAAACAGACACAGAAAAATGTTTAAAGAGGTGGTATTATGGTTTTTGGCTTTATTTGCCTTTATTGAGTTATATATCTTTTTTGTGCATGTAATAGGTTTGCAAAGTGAAAAAGCCCAAAGTCCAGCCCTAAGGGAGTTCCCATCTCCCACAGAAAACACTGCTCTGAACCGCTTGAAAACAGCTTGTTTGTAGTCCAGCCTTAACTTCCCTTTGTTGTGACGTCACAATGAAAATACGTGTCATAATGCTCGCTGAGCGACTAGTCTGACACACCCTCAAAAACACCGGTGGAAAAACACAGAGCTGCAGCACACCTCTCCTCTCCCTTCTAAACACTACCAACGCTCCCGCCAGTCAATGGACATAAAGTTGTTACTGTGATGTAGAGACAGAGCTCAGTTAAAACTTTATGGATGAAAGATACTTTTGTTACAGATTAATAACTCACCACTCTGAAACTCTTGCTCCAGTCCATATTGCCAACCTGGTCGGCAACATGTAGCTTACAGCTAAATCGAAGCTGTTTACCGTCTTTTCGTTGACCTGCCCTTCTCTGATTGGCTAGTACTCCTTAACTAGGAACTGCGCATGTGCAACTCCCAACAAAGATCATTTAAAGACAAAATGTATCACTCCATAGCTAAAATGAAGCTTTCACACACAGGGTGAAACGAGGAGCTACAGCAATGTGCAGTATGACAAAAAATATGGTGTTTTTTGAAAATTAAATCATGTAAACCTGTTCTGGTACAACCCCTAAATAGGATTTTGAACCTGAAAATGAGCATAATACCACCTGTTTAATTCAGGCTTAGTTACTTAGTGACTACCCACATGGCTAATTGTCTCTGCTGTAGCTGGCGAGCTAACTGCTAACATACTAGCCAGATTGGCTAGAGGTTGTCAGTCACATTAACTCTCTTGGTTGCTCACTGGACAGTATGTTCACATAGTTTTTTTCAAAGATGTATTTTCATTTATTCACTGTTAAAGCAAAATTATGTTTCCTATTTGTCACTGTGCAGCTGTTTTGTTACAATGTTTAACTGGCAGAACTTCAAAATCAAAGATGTAAAGATGTAGGCCTATATAAGTTAGATAGAGGCGATGGATACAAAGATATAAAATATCAAAGCAGTCTAACCACTTTGCTTCTTTCTTTCTGAACTCTCATCTGTGTGAACGCCAAAAAATAATACAAATTCAGTGTCATCACTGACAAAGATAATGCCAGTCTGACCTTTGAGTCACTGTTCTGCACTGCAGGATTTGGCCATTTCCTTTGATTGGAGCAGGAGGAAGCAGTTTATCACTTGGGCAGATTCACTCTCTCCAAGACATTTATAGTTGAACCTGGGAGGAGATTCAGGCCTGAGAGGGGGCCACACAGGATGTGAGAGTTTTGCTTTGTAAATACTGTTGTGGCAGGATGTCACTTTGAAGACGCCAACAGCCATCAAAGCTCAGTGTCTTTGCCCAGTGGAAGGCTGATTTGAAAAGACTGCTGCTACATAAAACACTGCATGATATCACACTATAGTGTACCATGCTATCAGCAGTTATTTTGATTATTTAAAAATCGGACAAAAAACGATCAGTGATATATAAATCTGGATCAAATCTGAATTTAAAAGTCAAATACTTTTTGTGATAAAGCACATACTGTAATAATTT